TGTTACATTATTTGGATTGTGACATATCAATAAGTGTTGAAGGAGAATGTTGTGAATATTTTATATATAAATGCAAGTGGAGCTTTGGAAATGGGATAAACTGGGAGAGATAAATACATAAGATTTAAGATTATATATTCAGGAAGAGGTAGGTCATTTTTTTCATTTCTTTTTTGTTTAGTACTGGCTCACATTGGTATTTTTTAAATGAAGCAATGAATTATGAGATGAGTATGGTTTGTTGAGTAGATAAACTTTGACCAGTTATGGCATCAAGACGTTATGAGTACCATGTATCTCATCTTTGAGTCCAATGGGATTGAAATTGTGTTTTAAGCTATATAAAAACTTAGTTATTGCACCATAATTGAAAATCACTTGACATGATAGAGTTAGATATTTATTTCACATTTTTAATTTATGTATTTATTTTTAATAATTTTCTCATCATTGGACATGATATCTCATAGATTGTTCATGGTATTATGAGCTAATTCGATGAATATGGTCTGGCTTGCTTTTTTATTTTTTTATACTTTATTTTAAAAGGTAAATTCACAATTTGGATTATTTATTTACATGATGAAAATATACAAACTGTAAACAGTTTTTTTTCTCAAATGTAATATATTATAAAAATTTCGGTAAAGTTATTTAGTCAGGATGGCCGAGTGGTCTAAGGCGCTGCGTTCAGGTCGCAGTCCAGTTATCTGGGCGTGGGTTCAAATCCCACTTCTGACAAATTAAAAAATTTTTTGTATTAAAAAATTTAAATTTAAAACATCAAATTATAAGAATAGAAACATCTAATAAATAGCAAAGTATGTGTTATCTATATCTAGTTAGATTTTTTAAAATATTTATATCCAGATATTATTTTAAAGGTATCTGTATCTCTTTTTAGATACTTTCCGTGATACATTTTGATATACTTTTATTTAACACTCTTTATATTATAAATAAAAATACTTTATTGCAAAATATTTTATTTCATGAGCATATAATTCAAATATAAAATATTAAAACTACTATAATAAAAAATTATAAATATTAAAACTTATTTATAAAAAAAATATATATAATACTCATTAAATATTATGTCCGAGTTCATCAATAAACCAGACAAATTTTGATATTACAACCATCTCAAGGAATCTGCCATTTTTATTATATTTATTTTATTATACTAATTTTAAAAATTTATTTTAGATTAATATTGTGATCAAGAGGAAGAAGTAATAATCAATGAAGCATCAACTAGTTCAGACATTGTTTTTCCATGGCCAATTTATAGAACATATTTTTAAATAATATCTCAAAATCAAGAAAACAAATCTCTGATAGTAAAATGATTGCCATATCTACCAAAAAATACGAAATTTCAGTTAGCATTACCTCAACAAAATATTGAACTCCACTGATATTTTTGCCAAGAGACCTCGGACTTAACCCAAACCACTTTAGATGATTTAATAACTGCTTTTATTATAGCTGGCATTCAGACATTTTCAATTATCCTTCATTTATTTTTTAAATAATTTGAATGTCGAGAATTTAGCATTTTTAAAGAATATCCTGATATAAAATTTTATTCATAAAATATAACACCCACAAAAAATATCTTTACAGATAAACGAGGTTGCCTTAATAACCAAAATTTTGAAAATATTTTATTACTGAAATCTAATAATTATTTATAATCATTTAATCACATATTTCATATATTATATTAATATATTAAAATAAAAATCATTATTATTCATTTTTTGATAAATGAGATATCCAGTAAATAAATTTTTTTAGCTCATTTCATGAATTTTCACATTAGAATCCTATATTAGGTTTATGCAAACGTTATATAAGAGTATAATAAAATTGTATCTGTATCTAGATTTAAAATTGCATCGATAGCTTTTTAGACAATGTATCTGTATTTAGATCAATTTAAATAGTATCCTTTAACAAATAGTAATTAGTAAAAATCCAAGCTTGCCTAAAATATTTGATTTTTTACAAACCAGGCTAGGCCAGACAAATTCACTTTAACGTTTTTTCTTACTAAATTGATTTATTAAAAAATTTTAATATTTCGAAATAGGATAGAGGGCTTTTGGGTTCAAGAGCTGTTAAGGTTGTGGCTTTTAGAGCAGAATTGTATCTTGCTCCTTTTGCCAATATTTGTTTCACTTTGTCCCCTGTTTTAAAAAAATATATATTCATTAAAATTTAAAAGTGAAAAGGGTTCAAAGCGAGAAATATCCAACGCGAAGAATTTTTTTCTTTTCCACGCAATAATGTTGGTTGGTGATAATGTTGTTACGGCTAAACTGTCGACTTAGCCTACATTCTATTCTATTCAAGTTTTGAGTCGTAAAACACAATTAAAATTGAGCGGCGCAAGAAGTCCCACCCATGTGTTAATTTTATAAGTCAATATTAGAGTCGGCTCGATGAGTAGACTTCAGTTCAATCAATAGGCTTTAGAGCTGTTCGATCACTAAGCTTCAGAGCCGTTCGATCACTAAGCTTCAGAGTAGGCTCAAATTTATTTCGATCTGCTATTAAATTTGCCGCGCGAGAAAACAATTTCAGCCACTTTATTTTGTGAATTAAATATATGTAAATTCAAAATTCTATTTGTGCATATTGTTATCGTAACCGTAAGAAGATGGCCATGCCATTATATTATCTACTCCCCAAGAAAAATTAAATTTTCTCACTATTCTGGTTTAAACTGGATTAAGGGTTTTAAAACTCTAAAGCCAACTCATTAAGTCGACTCTGAAGCAAACTCATTAAGATGCCTCTGATGCCGACATATCGAGCCAAATATGTAGTTAATGAGCCGCTCAATTTAAAGTCGTATTTTACGTTTCCGAACTCGAGTTTCAGAGTCGAAAATCGACATTTTAACAACTAGTTAGTTTCTTTGGAACCCTTTTTGTAAACAGATATTAATCTAAGAGGCTCAGAAAGATAATTTTGTAAATTAATAATGTGACCAGAATATTTTATATTGATGGATTATATAATGATGAAAAAATTTTAAATGGCTCGGCTTTGATTCCTGAATTACCTCGTGCAGTTAAACGGGTTTTGAAGAAGGTCGATATTTCGAATATTAAGTTCCTGATCTAAATCTACCGTATTCGCAGGTTCGATACGAACTAAAAACTTTAGTTTAATAGGCTACACCTTTTGAACTATGTACAAACTTCAAAAAAAAAATCTTGAAATATGGCTCTTAATTGCGCAAATAACAATCAAGTTGGCGTTTGTAATGGGAGTAGAAATTGTCATGTATTGGATAAAATATAACCTATCATTCATATATTTCGTTAATTATATTTAGATCTATAATTGTCTCAACTCAAAGTATTGTGTTATGCATTATTATATGATTAAGGGAAATTTTGAAAAATGGTGAGCGTCCGGGTATATCCAACATTTGATCAACCCAGTATATTTTCAATATATAAGGGTCTTAAGTTCTTTTGCTAGATTTTAATATTCTCAAAATAAAAATGACCCAATCAAATTATAAAAAAATATTCATATTCTTTAATAAATATAAAATTTCATTTTAAAAAAACGAGCGACGCGTTTTAGCTAGATTTCAAAACCCGACATTTATACAATAAAAATATATATTTTATTCTCATTCACATCATTCTTCAGCTTTTATATTTTTATTAGTCTAAAGGATGTCACATATCGTCAATTATATTTCAGTTCCTTGCAATCGATTTAAATTCTTAGATATCGCTGGCTCAGATAATTTCGTTCACTATATCCGTTGTTATATTTTTATTAGTCTATCAGATGTCGCATGTCATTAATTATTTGAGATCCTCTTCAATCGATTTATATTCTATAATATTGATAGCTCAGGTAATTTCGTTCACTATGTCCGTTTCGATATAGTGTTATTAAACAAAATAATAGGAAGCATAATTGCTACTTTGTAGTGTAGTTAAACGGCCCAATTTTTAAAAACAACCTGATTATGATTTTAGCCAAAATAAGCTTGAAGCTTTTTCTCATAGATGGCATAAAGGTTTGAACCTTTATTTGCCAAATCTCGAGGCTTAAATAATATTATTTTTGCTCGAATCTTAATCGGGCCGTTTTAAAAAATCAACCCAAAACATTACTACCTTGAACTTTATTTCAATTTCACACCACCAATTTAGACATTTTTTTAAAATTATACTATTTTGTGGCAAAATAAATACAGGGTTCATTAAAAAAAAACTTTATAAAATAGAGAATGTGAAAAAAATCACGAAAATTTAACATTTTGAAATATATCTATGTATTATATATTATTATATAGTTGATGTTAATCTAAATACTAATGACAAAAGAATTATTCCAAGATTGAAGAAAGTAAAGGCCAAAAACCTGTTCATTATTGTTGTTTTTGGAACAGATCAATTTTGTCGAATAAATATTTAGTAAGAAGGGTTGCAAATTTTTAAGGATTTTGAAAACTATTCTTATTCAAAAATTAAACAAAATGTACTAATTTTATCACCCTTTTTATATTACGGGGTTTTTTTTATCTAAAAAAATATATAATATCTCAGTCAGAACATTTTTCAATTAAAGGATTTTAAACCCAGTGATAAAAACTAAAAAAAAAGTGTTATGAAGTTAACTGACAAAAATATATTAAATTTTTTTTAAAATATAAGAATTTTCACGAAGAGCCCGTAGAGTGCAGATTCTTAAATATAAATTAATCTTACATAATTTGAACTTAAATGCGTGAACCATGAAATACTAAATTTGGGCATACTCTTACACATAATATAAAAATGAATAAATTTAAAACACAAAATTTATTCTAAAATAAATTAAATTACAAATATAAATGTCGTCGCTTATTTTATTTTTTTTGTATCTTTATTTTAGGTATAAGGAGCAATATCGTTATTTAATAAGCTACTCAATACATATAGATTATATATTAAAAAATTAATAAACTATGTATATTTCTATAAAAAAAAATAGTATAAAATAAACTTAACTTTTTATATTGTGCTATTTGATTGGTGTAAATTACATGATATGATATTGTCATTTATATATATAAAAAAATTCTCATAATTAATTTTAAGCCAAATATATCTGGAATAAGAAATTAAACAAATGTACAAAAATCAAGAGGAATATGATTATTAATCCATTTATTTTATTTAAGACCAAAATTTGTCATTTAAAAAAAAATATACAATCCTCTGACGACTAACATTCAATATGGAGCCTAATACTTTTATAAAAAGAATTTTCATTTTTGAGGAGATTATCAAATAATTTACATTACAAGTATGTAAAATCTTTCTTTCTTTAATCCATAAATTTTTGATATAATTTTTTAAAATATTTAGGAAGGCACTATGACAACCGTGACCTTCAAAGCATCGCACTCCTCTAGAAACAAAGGGTCACCGGTAGACAGATTAACCGAATTTCTCAGAAGAGAACCAACCCCACCATTGAAGCAACGATTACTGGAAGTTTCAAGTCTGTGTGAAGGAATTAAGTCTTCGAATTTGATAGAACACGTGCGAGAATAAGATTCGCTGCCATTTAAGTGCCTGTTATTTGTATATTTTTTAAAAAAATGTTAATTAAATTTTTTATTTTGATATTTAAATATTTTCTGAAAATAACAGGTCGAATTGGATTTCTAAATATTCCGTATTCACTCAGATGATTTACGATCTTTCCCGAATACGTAAACTTCCCACATAAGCTTGAAATTATATTCTCTATATTTTTAAAGTGGTAGCCAAGATATAGTGTACGGGAAAAAAAGAAATTTTTTTTATTGAAAATTAATTGAGGAAAAGCGTTGTATGCGGAAAAATCAATTAGTAGGAAAAGCGATAACTAATTAGAGAGAGCTCGTGTGTACGATAAAACATTGATAGCTTGTTAATCGATTATTGAGTTGTATACAGTACCAATTATATCATATTTATTGATATTGCAAATAGTCAAAATATTTCTTTTAAGGTAATAGTCAATTTTTTTATAACGTGGTGCTGAAAAGCATAAAATTTGTGAATTACTGAGAGGTGCACTATAATATTTGGCATCTGTCGTGGAAACAGAATTGAATGAATGGCTGGAACTCTTAATCACGGATGCGGTTAAAAACATTGAAATTGATTAACAAAGATAGGTAAAAGCTGAAATTTTTAATAACTTTACATCTTAAGCAACTCTTTTAAAATACAACCCTACCTATAGTTAGAGATCTGCAAAAGTAGACCCGGCAAATCGGGTTCGGACCGGGTCGGGCCTAATATTTTAAAAATAAATTCGGGCCGGGTCGGGTCTTGGAAATTTTTTAAAATATATTTAGATTTATCAATTTTATATTGAATTTTTTATGTAAAATAAAAATATTTGATTTTATTTATAAAACTAGACGCCATATAACATATGTCTTTTTTGAGTAATTATAAAAATTAATTTCATAATTTAAAAAAATCGGGATTTAGGGTTCGGGCCCGGCCGGCAATAATTTTTTACAAAAATTTTGGGTTTGGGCCGGGCCTGCAAAACTTTTTAAAAAAAATTTCGGGCAGGGCCGGCTTGAAAAATTAGGCCCGGTGCAGATCACTACCTATAGTATGGTAGAATAGAAGGCAAAAAAAATTATAAAATTATTACGATGGAAGAGGATGTTTGTCTCCTTGATAAAAATTTCGAAAATGTAATATTGATTAAATCTAAGATCGATATTTTTAAATATCTGTTACACAATGATATCTTTCAACATTATTTTGATTAATTTTTAAAAAGGTAAAAACGCTACGTATTTATATTAAGAATTGTTTTTTTAATAATTGCAAAGAAAATTTATATACTTTAAAACTCTTATGGCATAATAAATATTTTAAAAAAGATATTTTAATGAAACATGATTATTAGCTCAATTATAAATAAAGGAATAATAATACTAAATAAATAAAATCCTTTCCCCGGCCACCACTCTGTACAGTGTCGGTATCGAATACATCTGGGGAAAATATATTTATATCGGTATCGATGTACCCTTTTAGAATTTTTATCGGCATTGATATGTTTTAAAAGTATCATTACCAAGCCTGATGATAATATGCTCACAATAAATGAAGAAAAGGTTATAAATTTCAATAATGTTTTTAGGCTTTAAAGAGGATAGATTAGTAATATTTGAGTAATTGAGTCAATTTTTAAATATGAAGCAATTAGTTAATTAGTTTGCTATCTATACATTTAAATTATATAGTAATTAAAAAGAAATGATCGATATTATCAAGGATAAAAATGTATTAAATAGTATTTGATTATATATAATGATCTCATTTTTTTAAAAATTAAGAATAGCTAAAAATATGATTCATTTTATAATTAGTTTGACCACTTTAACCCTAGCTCTAAGGTACTTGTTCAACCAATAATTCATAAAAAGGTTGATTTCATAAATATTATGTAACGAATCAAAATTGCTTTTATTTATAGGTGTATGAATGATTTTTGCTACAAAATGGTCAACGTTTGATAATGTCATTTCTGGTATAAAATAGTTATCATTTAGTCCTATTTATTTAAGGTATTTTTTAAGTATTGTAGATATTTTAATTAGCCAATTCATAAGTCAGTCCTAATCGTTTTAATTTCACATTTATTTCCATTTTTGAATTATCTATGATTATTAATCGTTAATCTTTCATAATTACAAACAAAAAATAACTTTCGCTTGTAATCATCCCCGCATGTAGATTGATAATCATAAAAATTTTGTTTGCGCGTCGATTCATCAAAGAAACGACATCCGGTCCGCTTAACTGCCATGGCAACGTATTCGTGGCTTTCGGTCGGCGTAGGAAATATATCCAATTTATTAGGGTGCTCCAAATAGGAAGCATCTGACATTTTTTTAAAAAAGACGTTTTATTCGTTAAAATGGTAGGTAATGAATGTCTGAAATTCGCAGAGGCCGCAATTTAACAGCTGGTCGAATTTATAAAATCTTTTAATCAGATTAATAATTTTTTTAAATTAATAATTCATATATTATCATATTATCATGATAATTAAATTTAAATTAATAAAAATAAAAATTCACATTAAAAGATCTTCACACCTTTTATAAAGTAACAATATAAATATGAAAACACTATTTGTTTTAAACAAACGTAAAAATATGTGATATACTCATACCGTTAATGATTTCAGTACCTTCGTTATCACTAAGGAAAGCAGGATCTTCGTTGACGGTGACAACGTTTTCAGGCTTATGAATAATTTGGGGTAAATAAGATCTATGATGGTCAGGCCAGATAAAACTCGATTTAGAAGCAGAGTCGCTGGCAGGGCTTTTTAAAGGGGGGCTCTTGAGCTTGAATTTATTATAAGACGGGTTAGACGAAGCGTGGAACAAAAAATAAACGTCAACCTTACGGGCTATCTTGTTATGCGTGCTTAAGCAGTTGCTCGGAGATTTGTTGTTGAGATAGGCGTCTTTGTATGAAGAACTAGAGGAAGTACTTAATCTGTCTACGAAGTTTGATGTGGGTGAGGAATTAGGACTGGAGCGATGTGATTCTATAGGATTTATGGCGGTCAACTTGGCTTGAACAGAGTTTAGGGTCAGTCCCGGAACCTACATAATTGACATAATTGCCTTGTAAAAATGTTTAAACTAATAACACAAGTTTGTTTTGAAACCAAATGAATAAAAACTTATTTTATGCCATTTTTTTAACTGAATCGTTGTACAATTTTACATATCGTCAATTTTGATTACATCATACTTAATAAAATTTCGAAATTCGATCAATTATTAATAATTATAATATAAACTTTATCAATTATACAGCCATAATATTTAGTGGGGCTGTGCCAATCAACAAATTTTTCACAGATCCGATCCGATATTACTTAAAATCAATCCGATTCCGATATCGATCAGATATTTACATTAATTTTTTTATCAATGTTATAAAAATATCGATATTTCCTATTTAAAAAAAACCTAAATAACTTTCAGGAATGATTAAGTTTATTTTTTTCTCCAAAAGTCAATGATCTCATTTAAAATATTTGCAATGTTTATAGATGAATTTAGTTTTGTTAAACAGCTCCATTTAGCCGATTTTTAAAAATAACTAAATCACAATTTAACCAAAATATTATAACCTAAGCCTCGAAATTTTGCCGATATTCTGTCATCTGTAGGCAAAATAAATAAGCTTGAGTAATTTATTTTTGGCTAGAATCTTGAGTTAATCGTTTTTAAAAATTGACTAAATTGGGCTTAACAACACTAGATGAATACAACTCGTTAGATATCTAAAAATCATTTTCTTATTGCAGATAATATAATAAAAAATAATGAAAATTTTTTAACTCTTTTTTTTTTAAACATTTCAACAAATAAATTGTATTTCATTAATTTATTATTAAGAAATTATTTATAGGATCATAAAATAAACAAAAACAATAATATTAGATCGGGTTTTAATTTTCAGATATTTTTTGAAAACGCTAAATATCGGCGTCGATCCGATATTTAATATCGGCTCAGCCTTAATTTCTAATATTATTTAACTAATTACTATTTTAGATGGTATTCAATCAAATCAAATGCAAATACAGTCATGATCTGGAATCTAGGAAAATAATTCCCCGGAAAAAAAATCCCCGGAAATAAATTCCCTGGTTAAAATTCCCCGGAATATTACTCCCCGGAAAAATATCCCCAGGATATAACCCGAAAAAAAAATCCCCGGAAAATAATTCCCAGGTAAATAATTCTCCGGAAAAAAAATCCAAAAAAATTACCTTGGAAAATAATTCCCCGAAAAAAAAATCTCATAGAAAATAATTCCCCGGAAAAATTTCCTCGGAAAAAAATTCCCCATTTTTTAAATCCTATAAAATATTATATTATTTTTATAAAATTAACAATATAGGAAAAAAAATCCCTAAAATATTTTTTGAGAAAATCGTCAAAAATTCCTATAAAATTTTTCCAAATAAAAATTTTCAAAATAAAATAGTACTTGTGATTAATATTAAACTTAACAAAAACTTAAATTATTAATTAATACTAATAAATATAATGTATAATGTTATAGACTTATCTCGAATCCAGGTTTAGTGAAAATTAAACCAAGCAAATTTATAAAATAAACGAGTTGGATACCTAGTCTCCCTGATATTATGCAAAATATTATGGCCAGCTCAGATTTTTTATTATGGCCAGCTCAGTTTTGGGCTGGATTTATAAATTCAAAAATTACCTAGTTTCTGTAATATTAAGCTAAATATTATTATAAGTTAAGTAATGATAATGGCCAGCTCTGATTTTTTATTTTAGCCCGGCATAAATTCATATCATTTTTTGATCCGGATCTGCTCTGCACTATTTAATTAAATAGAAATGTTTTTTAAAGTCAAATTCCTTCGAGGATTTGAGGTTTTATAATAAAACGAAAGTTAAATATATCTAGTTTACCTTTACACATTTTCATCAACTTTTAGATATTTATTGAAAATCAAATTTTTACTTTTAAAAAAAAATATTTTTACACAAATTTTAATCATTTTTTTAGAAATATATTAAAAATTTAAATATCAGTTGGAGATAAAAGGCTTTTCACAATTTACTAACTCTTAAATAGCGCCCTTTTTTGTTTTTATAAGGATAAGCTATTAAATAATATAATTATAAATTCTGTGGCAAAATAGGCTGATCCCCTCTATTTGATAAAAATTATTTTACTGAAGTATTTACCTACTTCAAGAATTTAACTGACTGAATACAAAATCAATATAAAACTTACAAAATTATATTTTTTACTGCACAATTTGAATTAAATACTGCCAAAAGTAATGAAAAATGGTGACCATTTTAATCAAAATACATCCAGAGGTGATTATCAGCAGTGAGTATTATATTTTTCAAATCTAATTATTATTTTGCTTATGAATTTTTTTTAAATTTACAGAAAAGAAATAATTATAATTTTATTAAATGATATATGGAATAATAAATTGTATAATTCAAATGAAACAATTCTAGAACATATATCCGATGGAAGAGAGAAAATTAGGCAAGTCCCTTCTCTCTTCTAAAAAATCAATACATAAATTTTTTTAAATATTTTGTTTCGTTGCATAACTATGATTTTTTTGGGGAGTGTATGTCCCAATACTCCATTGGCCGATTTTCCCCATGTCGACGGCTATTTCCATCCTCATTTTTTCGATTAGTTCCCATATCTTAGGTTTTTTGTGGCCTATAATATCCTGAAATCGATTATTCTATAAAAGGTACCAACCGATTTATCAATTCTCATTTAAAGATTGCCCTTTTGGAATTAAAAAATAAATACTGTCAACGTTCAGAAAATACTAATATAATTTTTTTTAAATATTTTCGTTTTTTAGGGGCGGAATTATTTTTTAATAATTTTAAAAAAATTATTCGGGGAATTTTTTCCGGGGATTAATCTACCCCCATATTTAATTTAAAATTTAAAAAATGGGGAATTTATTTCTGGAAAAATATTTTCCGGGGAATTATTTTCTATGAATATTTTTCCGGGTGATTATTTTCCAAAGATTTTTTTTCCAGGGAATTATCTTCCAGGCGATACTATTTCCTGGATTTTTTTTCTGGGGAATTAATTTCCAGGGGATTTTCGCCCTGGGAATTATTTTCCGCTTACCCATGATCTGAGGTTTTGAATTATTTTTTTTCCTATCACAAAATTTAGCTAACAATGCGCGTCAATTAGATTTTTTTATTATAGTATAAGACACATGGTGAGTCCTATTTTATTAGGTTGAAGAATTATGTATCAATATTATTTTTATTTCAATTTATTTTTATTAATTAAAAAAATAAAAAGGCTGAAATTTGTCTGAAAATTTATTATTTTAATTTTTCCCCATTTTTGTTAAAATAAAAACTTGTAACGTTACTCCTATAGAAAATTAATTAATCATAAAATATAAGTAGTTTATTTTTTTTATAAAATTACCTCAAATGTTTTATTCATTGATATATATAGACTTTTATCATAATTTATGCCTTTAGGGTAAAAATCAAGAATCCATTCCCAATATAATCTATGATCTGCTCGCGATGCACTTGATAAAGTTGAAAATATTTCAGTTCTAATCCCATAACTTATAACTTGGTATTAATATAATTTGTTAAATAAAAAATTACTTAGGAAAATTTGAAAAGTTGGGTATTACAAAAGTAGTTGACCATAGTTCTGAAATATAAATCCTAGGTGATGTTAATATAAGTTCTTTTTTATTAATTTTCATAATATTTCTCTCTTTATTAGTAAATGCATGAAATTTTGTTGCTATATTTAAACTATAATTTAATATAGTTACTAATTCTATATATATACTTGTATGACAAATTATCATTGGTAGTAAAAATTTCAGCCAAAGTATTTAAAGGTAAATATGGAGTTCTAATATATTTGTATAAAATTTCTAATTCGGGTGTGTTTAAACATTCTTTATTATGTTGTATCCATTTTTCAAGACAAATTTTTATTTGTAATTCATTAATAACTATCAATTCCGACTTTTTAAGAAACTTTATTAATATCTGTAGTGGAATTCCCATAAAATAGTCTGAATCCAATATGTATGAAAAATTCCATATTATATATTCTTCAATCAGATTTTTGTTGGATTGATCTGATGCTGTGCAATATAGATACCAAGATATAATTTCACCCTGTTTTAGAGCATAACCAACATTATTGTTTATAAAATTGATGCAGAGTTTGATTAAATCATGAATCTCATATTTATCAGCTAGTATAAGGATTGGCAAAACGTTTGAAAAATTAAATTTGATATAACTAGTATACATATATTTTATTAGCATTGGAAAGTAAGTAACACATATGGGATCTTCAGTTAAAATAATAGATTCCTGATTGCAACTTGACCAATTAGTGTTACTAAGCATGGCTTTAAATACGGGACTATTTGCGCTTAATATTAATTTATGAACATCATAGCTTTCATTATTCAATATAAGTTTAACATCTAACAATTCTTTATCTTCCAATAATTTTTCCAATTTACGCGATATCAAATTGTCCATTATTTATCATATGTGCGTTATTAGATCCACAAGGTATTATAGTAATTATAGGAAACTTAATGAATTTCAAAAGCTTACCCAGCACTAATTTGTGGAGAAATATACAGAATAAACTATATTTTTGTGCATTTTTATATACTTGATCGTGAATTAGCGCTAATTGTGAATGCATGGTTAGGGTCTGAAACATCCATAAAAATTTGCAAAATAGAATACAAGCATAAATCATTCTGATTGTATTCGATAATGTGCTAAAATATTTTAAAAAAAATTGAATATTTAAAAAAAAATTATTTATTTAATAATATAAAGTATCATTTGGTTAAATTAGTAATAATTTCATATCAATTGTAGATGAACGATGAAGTTTTATTAACTTTTAATTTATATTATTCAATTTCAATTATATTCAAAATAATATAACCTATCATTTTATTAACTTAAAATATCATTTTTTATTCTAAATTTGATACGTAAGTAGTTAGATATTGGGTTTTACCTTTTTACATTTTTTCACTAAATTAAAGTTTTACAGTAAAATATTAACTCCCAGCCAGCTCCGTAAAGATGGCCGAACGATTGGAAGCATTAATTATAAATCATATACCATTTTTTAGTACTTCAGTACTGCTTTAATCAGTGGCCTCGCTGGGGGTGGGGGGGGGGGGCGCAGGGGCTCGAGCCCCCTAGAAAATTTGAATAGCCCCCTGAAGAAAATTTTTTTTTTTAATGGAATCTTAACCCATTGAACTAAAAATAAATTTTTTTGATTGCCCTTTGAAAGAATTTTTTTGTAATTCTATTAAGTAAAATATAAATTTAATTTTATTATTTAAAAATTAATAAGACTATCTAAATATTTATTAAATTAATACTATTTTAAATATTAGATTAAATTAACATATAAATTATATTTTCACTATGTCAGTTAGCAATCAAATTTTGTGTTAAAAATAGAATATCAATATCACCCAGTAATATTATTTAGCATTAACAGATTGACTATTATTATTTAAATTATTTTATAACCCTAATTAAATAAATATAATCATTTATTAATAACATAAAAATTTAACATTGTAATTAGAAGAGTTCAAAATGACTAATCAAATGTATATTTATTTTTAAATTTTATTATCATACCTATTCCTAAAAATATCTTCAAGGTCCAAATAAGTATAATAAAAAGTAAGTAAGTAGACATATAGTTTATAATTCTCTATTATACAGGTGTTTATAAAATATTAGATAAAATGCCACTTTTATAGACGTATAGTTATAATATATTACAGCTGATTATAATAAATTTTACTAATATTATGATAATTATACATTATAAAATAAACTTTAACCGTTATTGTGAATATACTATAAAAACAACTCTAACCATTATTGTGAATATACTATAAAAAACTACCAGTAATGCAACGCCATTTTATAACTCACTCAATTTACCAACGCAACTCTAAAACTAAAATTAATAAATTTTAGGCTTCAAATTTATTGATTAAATATATTTTTAAAAACTAAAGTCATAAAAGTCATCATAATTATAAAATCTAGTCCCTTTTATACTTTTGGAGATCACGAGTTTTACACATGATTATAAAATCAGGCGACTTTATAAATTTGATAAATATTAAACAAAATAATCTTTAAAAATAAATAATAATAATAATAATATGACAAATATGACACGCCCTCCATAAATGAACTCAATCGACACCCATATTATTTGCTCCGTTGTGATTTTAGATTATATATTTTAGAAATCCAATTCATCAAGATTTTTCTCATTTAACCATCGAATTTGATTCAAAATTTTCGAGAATATTTTTCTACTTACCCCATTTGATTCCATATCTGAATAAAATAGAACAAGAACCATCATGAATTTATCTTCCTTCCCATATATCTTTGATAAGTGGTTTCCTTTTCAAAGTCCCCATAGTTTCGCTGAAGTAGGAATTGGCTGCATCGTTTATGATCGAATATTATTTATCTTGAACCAACTTTAATGATTTACCTCCATAATCTTCATTGAGTTTGAACAAATATTGTTATCTCCGCTTAACTTTCATGATTTGTCTCCGTAAAATAGAGTTTAAATGAATATTATTATCTGGACCCATCGTTAAGGATTTGTTTCCGTAGTATCGAGTTTGAACGAACATTGTTATCTTGACCCTAAGGTTAATGATTTGTCTCCGTAGTATCCAATTTTAAAGAACATTATTATCTTGACCCAACGTTAACGACATGTCTTTATAATCTTTATCAAGCTTTCCAATTTCCCATAATTTATTTTTCCGTGAATTGATAATCTACATCATTTAGCACAATAAATTCTTGATTTTTTTTTAAAAAAAAATACCTCTTCTGCTTTTTCTTGGTAATACAAAATAATTCCTCGCATATGATCGTCGAACTTCATTCATTCACTCTATTTGGTTTGATCAACTCGTTCTCTTTCCCTTTTACTTCACCGCATTACTGTCTAATAATTCGCCGATATATTAAAAATATGTAAGCACTTTACACATATTTTAAGGTCAAAATTTCCTATATTAATACTATTAACATTTTTACCGAAATTTTAAATACCATGTTTGTATCCTTCCTCCTTTAAAATTTATCTCAATATATTGAACTTTTACACCAATCCCGAACAACTCTTTTGTATCTATCCCTATAAAATTCATCTCAATATATTAAACTTTTACTGAATTTTCAAACATCTCCTTTTAAAATTCAACCCACATATACATATTTCAGCCCAATCCCCCGATTCCCCATTGAATTTCCCAAATACTCCCCAATGAGTCTCCCCGAATACTACCCCACGAATCCCCCGAATACTTAGAATTTTCCCCGATTTCTCTCCTAAAATTCCCTCCACCCACAACATATAAATTTGTTAATTCATTTACCACTTCTTTTATTATCAAAACAATAGATCTACATATTTTATATTAGCGTCAACATTTAAAATACTTTTCATAAATTAAATATCATCTTCTTTATTTTCTATTCTGCTCTTTTAAACCAAGAAAAATATTTAACCTTGAATTCATTATTTTTTTAAAAAAAATTTTTTTTTATCCAACCCGCTGTTATATTCTACTCAATTAACCAAAAATATGTTCCAAATTAAATTTTTTTTTCCTCACCAAAATTTATTTTTCAATCAACTCAATCTTCTCTAATATTTCATCATGTTTTTATTCCTAATTAAAGTAAAAAAAATATATTCAATATCTTTCTTCTTTAAAAAATTTTTTTTAGCATCTTCCTTTATCTTAATTATATTCTTTGTAAATCATCAATCTTTTTAAGAGACCCCCTCTTTTATAAAAAACATTTCCTCGCATAATATTTATCGTTAATCTTAATTTCGTTAATATTATTCCTATTTAGAGCAAATCATTTTTTTTTAAATTATTTTCTCCTTTGCCTTATTTTAATCCATTAGTACTCACCTCGCTCTCGTTAAAATATAATTTTGGCTCTTACATAAATTGATTTACCTTAGCGCACTATTACACCCTGATCCCCTTTCTTACCCATTGATTCAACTCTATTTCTACCTCCCTTCGCCATTCAATTGGTATTTTTCGCAACGCACAAAATTTTGGTATGCAATTTTCCTTTAATTTAATATCTACCTCATAATCTCTCAGAACCCTAACTCTTCATCAAAAATTTCCTGGTATTTATCCACCAATTTTCATACTCCTTCCCGTACTTGAGCCATTTCTAGCTTAACATCTCTTTGACTATATTGGTCTGTATCCAACTCTTTATTTTTCAACTCGATAACTTCCTTTCGCAACCCATGACATATTATTTTACAATTTTCCTCATAAATTCTTTCTTTAAAATTCTCAATTTCTCCCTTAAAATTTCCCTTAATTTCCTCCTTTAATTTCCTCCTTTAATTTCCATCTTTAATTTCCTCCTTAAAATATCCTTTAATTTCCTCATTAAAATTTCCTTTAATTTCCTCCTTAGAATTTTCCTTAATATTCCCTATAAAAATTTCCTTTATTTCTCCCTTAGAATTTTTTTCAATTTATCCTCTCTGTTAAACATAGTCTCAACCCCTGGCAATTTTTCATTACCCAAATATTTTATATCTTCATCTTCATCATCACATCCAATGGGTACAAATATACCACACCATGCAAATACACCCCAAAAGCTATACCAATGACCAACGTACAATCCACTCCCATCCCTTCAACCCTTTTATCAATGATCCATAAATCCAACACCTCCATTATCACCACTTCTATTTCTACTCTTCCCATTACTATTATTTCTGATCCATCAAATTGTCGAATTCTTATTTCCTCCCTTTTTATTCTCCCATCTGGCCAAACAGTTTGATTTTATCCCATCACTGTAATTGCCGCCCCAGTATCAAACAACATTATACAAAAACTCCATTAAAATTTATCAACACCCTAGGACAAATATCATTTCCCTCTTGTAACATATTTATATATTTCAAATATTTTTATTAAATTTTATATTTTTCAACAACTTTTTCTGCCCCTTTTAATTATATACTTTTCCCCATCATATAGTCAACAATTCATACAATCTCTCGCCCACTCAAATTACTTTAAATTATTCTACAAATTTGTTAACAACACTTGGTTTTTTGGTCACGGCACCATTATGATAATACACTATAAAAAAAAAACTAACCGTTATTGTGAATATAATATTAAAAACTACCAGTAATACAGCGCAATTTTATAACTGACTCAATTTATCAACGCAACTCTAAAACTAAAATTAATAAATTTTAGACTTCAAATTTTATTGATTAAATATATTTTTAAAAAACTAAAAGTCACAAAAGTCATCATAATTATAAAATCTTGTCCCTTTTATACTTTTGGAGATCACGAGTTTTACACGTGATTATAAAATCAGGCGACTATTTATAAATTTGATAAATATTAAACAAAATAATTTTTAAAAATAAATAA